TCTGTTTGGTTTGCTGCCTGCTGTGCTGCGCCGATTGGGTTTGCTGCGCGATCAAATTCATTTTTTAGGAAATTATTCTCTCTCAATTATTTTGGTTTCTGGCCTATTTGTGGGTTTTGTATTGGCTTTGCAGTTTTATTATAATTTGGCTAGATTTGGCTCCACTGAAGTATTGGGTTTGCTGGTAGGTTTAAGCCTGGTGCGCGAGCTCGGTCCGGTGGTGAGCGCATTGTTGTTTGCTGGTCGCGCTGGGACGTCCTTGACTGCCGAAATTGGTTTAATGAAAGCTGGCGAGCAGCTCAGCGCTATGGAGATGATGGCAGTAGACCCTTTCAAGCGCATATTGGCTCCCAGGTTTTGGGCTGGCGTGTTTAGCATGCCGCTTTTGACAGCAGTATTTAGCGCCGCAGGAATAGTGGGCGCTTGGATAGTGGCGGTTTTGATGCTGGGAGTGGACAATGGGGCTTTTTGGGGGCAGATGCAAAATGGCGTTGATTGGATAAGCGATTTGGGCAATGGCACCATTAAGAGCGTGGTTTTTGGCATTACAGTCACTTTTATTGCGCTTTACCAAGGTTATGAGGCACAGCCCACACCAGAAGGCGTCTCGCGCGCCACGACGCGAACGGTGGTCAGCGCTTCCCTTTGGGTATTGGCGCTGGATTTTATTCTTACCGCCATAATGTTTACCATTTAATTCATTATTTTATAATATCTTAGAGATTAACTATCATGCAACAATCCAAAACTGATATTTGGGTAGGCCTGTTTGTACTGCTGGGCCTTACTGCCGTTTTGTTTTTGGCGCTCAAGTCTGCCAATTTATTAAAACTCTCCTTTGAGCCCACATACACCGTTAGCGCCAAATTCACCAATATTGGCGGCCTCAACAATGGAGCTGCGGTGAAAAGTGCGGGGGTGGTGGTAGGACGCGTGAAAAAGATTACGTTTGATGATAAATCTTTCCAGGCTCAAGTAGATATTGCACTGGAAAAACAATATGCTTTTCCTAGCGACAGTTCTTTGCTTATCCTTACCAGCGGTTTGTTGGGCGAGCAATACATAGGCGTGAGTGCGGGTGGAGATACCACTAACTGGCAGCAAGGCGATGT